ATTTTTGAACCTAAATGTAGTTACCAATTATTACATAGGCCCATCTCCACCTCAGGGTGCGTAAAATGCTTAAATATTCAAATATGTGTCGTCATATCACCAATTGAGTTTAAGGTTGTCTAGAAACAAATCACCCTGCTCTCCCCTAAATAAATAATAAAATAAATAAAATAAAAAGCAAATAAAAAGTCCATTGGATAAAATTTCCATTTTTATTGTGTGCTCAATTATAATGTTAATTTCATTAAAAGGCTTTGATGATTGCTAAGAACATTCTCCACATTTAATCTGGAACAAATTTGGAGCATAACATTTTTATAAAAAAGAAAATCAACATGAACATGAATATGAACAACACTACATTTAGCATCCAACAGATGGAGCTATTAACCTTTGCCCAGTCCTTGTGGTCAAGCATCTGTCTAGACGCTGTGCAAGCTGATTTAACAACGGTTCTTAAAACACCTTGCCATTATTTCTCTAGTCTAATGGCTACTCTACTGAAATGAATAAATGAACAATAACTTGACAGTAACCACAAAGACTCCCAAACTATACTTGTGTGATTTTATGGTCTGACCCATTTTCACTCATCACATAAACATTTCTTATTTTCAGGTTACTCTCAGATACAGCTATAAACAGAATCTTTAAAAGGTCCCACTACCTTTCAAAATGATCATTTCTGGAACTCAGTCATTACAGCTGGTCTGCCTTTTTCCAAGAATGCATTGAAAGTAATGGATTTATGATTAGACTTAAAATCATTATACAGAAAGCTTACACAAATTTTTTTTTCTATTTTCTATTTATTTATTTTTTTAAATCAGAGAAACTCTTCTGGGGCACAAGAACTGCATTGTCTTCCAAACTGGAGTTAAACAAATAAGACTCCATAAACATGTCTGCAGCACGTAGTTATGATGGATGCCATCCACACTCAAGGGCAAGTGAGCACGGTAGGACAGAAAGTGAAGCAGGAGTGATAGATACACTACATTACACTGGGGGGAGAGTCTCTTGTTCCTGATGACTGTTCCCTGCCGGTCTATTCGAAGGTGTTTTTTTGCCAAAGACATCCAGTCTTCACTAATCTATCACCTGCTACACTGGCAGAATATATTTTTCCCCCTCTTTAACTCACTTTCTTTGTATATTCTCATTTCCAAAGGCAGACAACACAGCTGAAACTTCGGCAGCTCTGAGAATCAAAACTGTTTTTGTTTTTGTGAAGAATTCAGTAAGACATCTTAGAAGCACTGCGCGGGAGTAGACAGCTTCTCAGCCCTGAACAGAAGAGGAGTCTTTGGTGAAACGGAGCGTAAAACCGCACTGACAGTGTATATGAGATGTTCTTGCCCACAAGATGTTTGATGAATAGCAAAAGAGACACAAACAAATTCATTGTTTTGCGAAAAAAAAAAAGACTTCGATAGAAAATTGACATAGCATTTGCATTGATCCATCCATTTAAGCTGTCTCTGTTTAGACCTCTGGATATTTGTTGTTGTGTGTGTTTTTTTTTTTTTTTTTAAGAAGTACAGTTGTTGTATTTATGCCAACAAGCATTAAAGTCAACATGAAATCAAAATTGACCCAATTTTCTTTCTTTATCTCATTCTTGTTTTTTTCTGCAAGATGCAGTGTTATTTCCAATAAAGTCAGGCTATTTATTCTCATACTACAATAGTTTTTTTGTACTCCATTAGGCTGGTTCATTAAATATATTAAATTTATATATAAATTCAATAAATATAAGTAAATTATTTTACAAAATTAAAAGAGACATACACTGCCATTCAAAAGTATGAAATACTGTAAGTAACTGTAAAGACAGCAGTTACAAAATATTTCTATTTAAAAAAAATGCTGTTCCTTTGAACTTTGTATGTGATATTTCAGTTTTTTTTTTTTAATAAATCTGCAAAAATGTCAACAATTCTGTGCTTTTCTGTCAATATGGGGTGCTGTGTGTACATTAATGAGGAAAAAAAATTAACTTAAATGATTTTAGCAAATGGCTGCAATATAACAAAGAGTGAAAAATTTAAGGGGGTCTGAATACTTTCCGTACCCACTGTAAGTAACTGTAAAGACAGCAGCTACAAAATATTTCTATTTAAAAAAAATGCTGTTCCTTTGAACTTTGTATACATCAAAGAAATACTAATAAGATATACTAAAAACATATATACTAATATTTCACAATATTACTGTTTTCACTGTATTTTTTATCAATGAAACGCAGCCTTAATGAGCATTATAAATTTATTCTAAAAACTTAAAAAATCTTACAGAACTAAAACTTCAGAATAAGAGTCTAAGTGTACAAAGGTAGTAAAAATGATACAAAAACACAAATGATACAAAAGATCAGCAAAACAGTGAATCTTAAGAGAACAATATTCAGAGAAAAAAAGAGGTTCATAACACATACCTTGACATTGTATGCTATAAAATGCTTGGCCAGTGCTTCTGGAGTGTGCATCCATGATTTATCTAGAAAGAGACAGAACACTATTAATGTAATACGGTTCTTTATGAAGTACGCAATATCTTAATGATATCCTTAATGTTTTAGACAAACAGTATATAAATAAGTAGTCCTTTAAATCAGCTGCTGTTCAAACCTCTTAGCAGCAAAAACTCTAGAGCAAATGTGTATAAACAACAAACCAATTATTATAAATGATTATTCATTAATCAACTGCTGTTCAGACCACTTAGCAGTAAAAGTGTTTGAACAACAAACCATATGATTATAAATAATTATTTTTTTTCCTTTACAGTAGTTAAGTAACTGTTAAATCAAGTAATTTTCAAAGATTGCCAAAGATGAACAGCCAAATGTCTGTGTACAAGAAGGATTTCAGCTAAAGCTGCAGTGTAGATCAAACTGGCTTGTCAGAAGGTGAATTACTGAGATTGGCTTCAAAGGAGTGCTGACGGGGTCAGATGTGACGGACAGGAGACACCACCGTGCCTGTGCTGTTGTGACAGCTTAGAGGAAACTGCAAGGCCTAACTGTGACAAACAAGCCACAGGAGTCACAAGATTCAGCGCGCCTGCCAATTTGCTCAGTATTAACACCCTGAGTTCATTAACAGAGTTAGCCACACCATCGCATGTCCAAAATCTCTTCCTATTCCCTATATAATACGTATCAGGTGTTTGGCAATGCACATTTCCAACATTTATAACTCTTCACACTTTTCTTTTTTCCCCACAATTCTTCCTTTGCTTTAATGTATTACAACTGAGAGGATGCCATACAGCCATTTATATGGAAACGACCAATTAATCTCCCATTTAGACAAAGTATATCTCAAGCAGATCGAAACAAAAGACCCTTGAGGACTCAGAACCTCTTCTGGTATTTCAAGACAGCAATGATCAATTTTAATGAGCAGTTAATTGTAAATATTCAGAAAAAGAAAAAACTGAAATATGGATGACTCTTGGATAAACGGTCATTTTTGAGGCATTCAGAGCAATTTTCCGATCACAAATGCAGACATGGTTTTATGTTTACGCGGCGCGATGCAACGCAACGCGTAAAAAGACAGTATAAATCATTATAATCCGTGATTATGTCCCCACTGGATGTAACAAATGCCTCGTTTATACTGGGTTTTAATGTTTTTGTCTCATCGCTCCGGGACACGGCATCACAGTATGGTAGGGGCGTAACATTTTTGTCACTCGCTTGAGGTATTCGGCCAATACCTCTGGCCAATCAGAGCACACCTTGCTTTTCAGACCGATGAGCTTTGTAAAAATCGATGCGTTTCAGAAAGGAGGAGCATAGAGGAGAAACAATAATGTACAGTATGTGGAAAATAATGTGTTTTTTGAACCTTAAACCGCATAAACACATTTTATTACACCAAATAATGTTCTTTTTAGCAGCATCATATGACCCCTTTAAACTGGTGAGTTATAGATATAACATGTCATCGTACATGAACTTTAAAGATAATTATAAAGATTCAATCCAAGTTGTATATTCTGATCTCATATTTATCCTCATGAATCCATTGCTTATTGAAAATCTGCCAGTTTTTCTTCTTCCACAGACTGTCAGGATACAGTGTTTTCCCGCTTAGATTCCTCAAAGTGGGTGCGATTCATAGGTCAAATGAAGAGTGCACACCTCAAAATGTCACAGTGTTCTTGTGTACATCTTTGTGTAGGAATGGTAGGTGTTTCATAGAGTTCACCATGATGCCGAAGCTGATGACAAAGTGTCTGGAAAAATGCATTGCTTATTATACAGTGCTTTCAGAATAGAAACCAATATAAATGGAGAATGGATGACAAAGAGGAAAATCTGTCAAAAGGTCATAGCATAAGCAAAAGTGGTTGAGTCTGTGGTGCCATCAAAGCATTTCTCTGCATATCTGATCATCTTGACTATCTGTTTGTCTGACTATTAGCATTTAATTAGATGCGTCAATAGAGTGTTTTGCATTTAATTTAAAGGGGTCATATGATGCGATTTCAATTTTTCCTTTCTCTTAGGAATGTTACAAGCTCTTGGTGCATAAAGAAGATCTGTAAAGTTGTTTTTTTTACTTTAAACCGCATAAACACATTTCATTACACCAAATACACAAAATAATGTTCTTTTTAGCAGCATCATATGACCCCTTTAATGAATAGGAAGAGCAGCCAAATATTGATGATGTTTCCCAAACTAATATCTAATGATCAACAATGACTGAATATCAAGTCTGTCAAATCAGAACATCTTGGCATATTCTTAGCAGGTTTTCTCTGCAAGGGCTTCAGAAGAGCATAAGTGCCTTGGTAGTCTCCGCATCTAATTTGGGCAAGTTCTTGTAAGCACACGGACAGATTTTCATTAAAGAAAGATTATGTTTTATCCATAATCGCAGGGTATTTCTGTCATCTCCTGCTATGCACTAAAAAAAGCCTGAAGGAATTAGTAATGCCATGATGACATATTCAGAAATTTCTTAAAGCGTTTTGCAGGGGGGGGGGGGAATAAATAAATAAGACAGAGAGAAAGAAAAACATGGCACAACAACTACTGTAATGTAAGTAATTAGGTAGTGGAACTGTGTACAATTTAGCTAAGGTTATTTACAGGATACTGGGAATATTAGATTGTCACTAATTAACCAGCCACTCTCACCAAATGCAATCATTTCTGAGCTTAAAAGCATGAAAAAAATGAAAGAAAAAATGAATAATTAAGAAAAAAAAACAGAGAAAGAAAAATGCACAAATCACATCAGAGATCATGCTAAATCATTACTCAAAGTTTCACGACTGAGAAATCTTTTGTACTGTTGAGGCTATTCAAGCTGATCATGTTTGGGTTCAAACTTGATTTTATTACGCTCTAAATAACAGACACTGTTGCTATTTCATGTTCTGTATCTGGTAATTGGATGCATAAGTCTGGAAAGAATCTGGTTCCAATTATTTATTTGTCATCACACAAACAGCATTTCTGCCTTCGGCTTTGTAGATTACCAACCATTTAATTCGGAAACTAACAGTCTATACAAGTAGAGTATGTGAACAGTAATTTATATTTCATTCTTCTATATATCAGCAGTTTACCCTGAAGAATCAAAACATTATTTTGACAGCCTGACATAGCCAACATATATTATTTTACAAACTTACAGTTTATACGACAGCCTTTTTTGTCCAATAGCTGACCATCAATCCATCCATCCAAAACTATACAGATAAGGCCTATAACATCTTGATAAACTTTCAGATCGTAGTTGAATTTATTAGGCTGAGTTTTATGATACAAATTATCATCCATTAACTCTGAAAAAGAAAAATAATTCATGACCATATAAGAAACAAAGAGAGACATATTTACACTACCTTACTGACCAATGACAAATCACACATCTAATTGCAATGCAAGATGACATTAGTCAGACTTCATTAGACAGAAACCTCTCTGTGAATCTTTCTGTAACGTCACATCACCACTCACACCAGACACTGCTGCTAATGAATGCATGGCCATAAAATGATTACTGTCTCTCTGTGGTAAATGTCGCTATTGTTCATAAGTGGCTTGGATAGACCTTTTTGTGTTAGTTGGAGAATTTAATGCTTTCCTTCAGACAGATGGGCTATTGGTGTTCTCCACGGTCCAACAGCACTGTCCTGTGCACCAGAAAGGAGGCAATTGTGACAGCAGAAACATCCACAAGGCAGTGGAGGGAAATGTGTTGTGGCCGCAAGAGCTTTGCTCTTTTCAGTGCCCAAATAATTACTTTGTTATGCCTAACCTCTTTATGAAATCAGATTACAACTTGTTCTGGGTAAATGAGCAAATTCTAAATGAATTTGCAATGTAGTACACTAGAGATGCATTATACAATGGTGAACTGGTTTGTTTACATATTGCAATGAAAAACAAAAATTCAACAACCTTGGTTTTTAGTGATAGTGTCCTGGTATTTCATGTTTTTAATATTGGAGACAACAGTTCATGAAAACATTAGACAAGCTACCCACAAATCTTAATGTACTTATAAAAATACAGTAGTCAGTAACAGCAGAGTGTATTGGTACTTGAAAAATGGTACTCTGCATACTTACAATATAATGTCTTATTCATATAAACAACCAGATGTATTACATTCACCTGAGAATATATTTGTAAGCATCATCATTTGCCATTCTGAGGGATTCAGCACTGGACACTACTTGTGATTATAATCTATATCTTCAAAGCAAGCCAGACAGGCCAACAGGAGCTCCTAACACAGAAATATTACTAGTGCATTCCCTGCCATCTGGGATCTAAGAATGGCCAGTAGGGTTTATCACATCAAAGATCCATTAATTCATTTTGGAAAGAAGGGTGGGACAGGTGGTTGTAAATACATAGAGGAAAAAAAAACAGACCTCTGGAGGCAGACAGGTTGTCTGCTCCAAGCCACTGAGAAATGACAGAAAGGGAGGAGAGACTAGGTGAGGAAAAAAGAGAGGTAGAGATAGACAGAGATACAGGCAGACAGATAGGAGTATGAAAAGGGAGAGTCTGAACAATAGAGTTTTATAAGGGTTTCTGTTAGGACTGACAGTTTTAACATATACATTATGCATATATATATATATATATGCAAATAATAATTGCTATTAATTAAACAATACCATTAAAATTATTACATTTGAAAAATCGTTTGACGGCCCTATAAGTTCTGAGCTGGATGGACATGCAGAGGAGAGAGAGGAAAGCAAGACAAAACCTGGTACAACCCACATACCTTTTTTTCTGTTAAATGCCCGGTTCATGCTTGAAAACGCTCCGTCTCAGCTGCGATTTCCTGGAATGTGCCACCTCTACCTGGTGGGATGAGAACGTATATGGAAATTTAATCCACGGAGTCTGAGAAATAGGAATACATGTTTCAAAAACAAAATCCTGTGAATCTGCCCCTAAGGTTAAGTCTCCTATGGTGTGTTATTGCACAAAAATGTTACTGGGTTAAAAGTTATTGGGTTCATAAGAAATAAAAAGCAAATATCTCAAAAAAGAAAAAAGAATTGGGGGGATAAACCAAAAGCACTACAGCAGGTAGGAGGGTTATTAGTCAAAACTATAAATATTATTGGTAAATATGCCCTTCATGGTTCAAATATTTCAAAAAGTTAGACTGCGGCAGTTAAATGAAAGGTGCTGTAATATATATATATATATATTTGCAAAAGCCTTAGGCCACTAGAAATTTTCAAAAAAAAAAAAAAAAAGGGTTTAAGTCAGTTATTTCTATCTTTTGCTGTAGTGTGTCAGTATCTATCTATCTGTCTGTCTGTCTGTCTACCTTTTTTTTTAATAATAAGCTTACAATGACTGAAATTGTTTACGATTGAATGAAAATAAAATTGGACTTGCATGGCTTTTAGCCCATGTCTTTGAGACCATCTACACCATGTACTCCTGAACATCAACAAAATAAACTTTTAACATGTATATGGATTTTTTTCCAGTGAAATATTATCTAAAATGAGAATCTCTCTTTCCGCAATGCCACACATGTGAAACTGAAGCCTACTGGCTATTGAAAAAAGACAGGGGAGAGCTGTATGTACCACTCAAAACATCCTGCTTCAATGGGAAAAACAATGTGAACTGACAGAAAATGATGCTCATTCCGTTGGCACTACAGGGAAAAAAAAAAGAGATGTCCTGTAGAATTTCTTTTCACTGCATGCTATCCTAAGTTTCTCCCTCTCAGGCATTGTCAAACATCAGGAGATAAGCTTAGCCAATGACTTATACAGGCTATGAAACAAACTAATCAAATGTTAAGCCCAATGGGCAGACATATTACAATGTTATTGTTGGATGGATGGATGCTGAAAGAAGAGATTGCAAGACCTCCTCAAGGGGTCCATGTGCACATTACTGATTTCCCTGATGCAGGAAAGACAAAAGCTTTTCATAGAGACTCTTCAGACAAATGTGTCTTTAACCTCACAGTGACTTCAAACTCATTACTCATTACTCCCACTGCCTATCTTGTTAATTTGAACATGATACAAGATAACTTTGCTGGGTATGTTTATCATTGACTTCCTGAATTTGTTGTGTAGAGCCAATCATGTTCATGGTAAAATGCACGGAGACAATGAGAACAATGCAGTTTTAATGCTGTACATAACTTAAAGCATTTTATATTCTTGTTAAGAATAACTGAGCAGCTTTCATGCCAGTACAATTATTGTTAAATGTTCAAGGTGAATACTGTACGATGTGCACTTTTTTTTTCTCTCCTCTCAAACATTATGGTCATGATAGTAATGAAAGAAAAACTGATTATGTGCTGTCTTGAGAGGAAATGCTAAGTTCCATTTAGACCCTATAGTATGAAATGCTATTACGATATAACCAATAATGTTTTATACAAGTCCTTTCACACAATGTCTTGCAAAATATGCAATGTAAGGAGAGATGCCTATGATTTTTACAGTGTGTCTTCATGTGAAGGGTGTGGTGCTTCAATGGAGTGAAGCAGTAAATTATAGTATTTTGTAGTGCTGGGCGGTATACCGGTTCATACCGAATACCGGTTATAAGTGAGAGTGACTCCTGGTTAACATTTAAAAGGGGTCGTGTTTAGTCACTATTTAGTGTGGTATTTTTTGACAATATTCACTCATCATGACAGTAAAATAGGGCATTCTAAGTCAATATACTGCAGTATTTCCTCTCTCAATCAGTAGAAAATATGGTTAACACCCGGTCATGCATGAAAAAAAAAATACAGTCATGTACTGTGAAACCGGTTTAATTTTGAAAAATACCGTGATATAAATTTTTGGTCATACCACACACAGCACTAGTATTTTGGGAAGACATGGCACACAAGAATGTCATTTAAGGCTTCATGACAAAACAATGCATTTATGTTTTCTTTAAAGGTGACATATCATGAAAATCTGACTTTTCCCGGTTTTAAGTGCTATAATCAGGTCCCCAGTTCATCTACCAACCAAGGAAACGTGAAAAAGATTAACCCAGTAACTTTGTTTTGGTAAGCCTTTTTCTGCAAGCGTTTGAGGTTTAAACTAATATGGTTTAAAACGCATGATTTCAGCGCGATAAACATGATATTCAGAACCAAAACAGATGTTTTTAGCAGGTACTAGCTGTAATGGCGCAGCTCTATTCTGGAAAAGGGGGCGGGGAGCAGCAGCTAATTTGCATTTAAAGAGACAGGCCTGAAAAACAGCGTGTTTCTGCTTCCACTCAAATTTGGCATTTTCAAAATGATATAATTAATGATCTGTGGAGTATTTTGAACAGAAACTTCACAGACAAATTCTGGGGACACCAGAGACTTATATTACATATTCTAAAAAGGGGCATATGTCTCCTTACATATCATTCATCCCATTTTGTACCATTTACATGATGATGACAATATGCAAGCCGCTTACTGGGTTGAACCAATGAGGCATAAATCCGCAATAACGGATTTTGTCTTAAGAGAATGGTTTTGTCTATGACAGTTGGGCCATAATACATCTGAATTATTGCAAGAGACCTTTGAAAAGCCCTCAGAAAATATGAATATACATATGCATCAATATTTTTAAATATATATTTTAAAAAGTTCTTTAGATGTACAAATATTTTTTTAAATATACATACATACATACATACAAACAAACAAACAACGTTTATTTAGAAAATATGATAAAAGCATCAAATTAATTTTACAAGTACACAGGCACATTTAGGTTTTTTTTGGCTCCCAAGAGAGCAAAGCAAACAGGCTTCAACATGACAGACTGCCAACTTTAAAAGCAAAGAGGCTGAACAGGAAGGCAGGCACTTGTATTTTTTTATTCACAGGCAATTGATCTGTCATAAAGAGCCATGGAGAGTCAAATGTACAAGGACAGTGGACATCACTGACTGAGCAGGTGGAGTCACAAGTATATCGCGTCACCCCTGCCAGCAGCCTGAAGAGACAAAGAACTGGAACAACTTCGAAAGAATTGATAAATCATTCGGAGTTCTGTCACAGTTCAGAAAACTTGTGAAAAAGGGCTGACACATATAAACTGAGTCATATTTACAGTCAACAGTGCACAGGTTTCCTTACCTAACACATTTGCTCCACAGAAAACCGCCCAAGCCATTTCATTACAACATTCCACAGAGAATGTAAAAAAAAACTGGGTACAATGCCCACTCTTTCCCAGTTATTCTGCTTAGCAATATTATCAGTTGCCCGGTCACACCTGGGCAAACACCTGGCTGTGCTGTCCGCCTGACTGATAGCAGCTGTGTTTGTTCTCCGTTTATCACTTCCTGGCTGGTCACTCTGTCCCACAGGGGAGACCCTGAGACCTCCTTTATGCTGAGCTGCAAAGTTCTGCTGATAATATTTAGCATCTTCATAGAGAACTCCAGCTTATGCATGTCTGAGAGAACCCAAAGCAATTTATAACTGTTGGGTGGAGAAGCTAAAGTCCTCCAGATTTGAGAACTGAGATTGCCTGGGTCCTTTTTGCTGGAGTTAAAGTACAAATAAAGTTGCAAATAGCAGTTATTAGGATCCAAGTGCAATTTGTCTTTCAGCTAAAAATCTCACAAAAATTCATATTCTAAAACAATAACTGCTGTCTAAGGCCTTCTGGACTACAATGTTCTGAAGTCTATCAAATACAGACCAGGCGAACAACTTAATTTGCAAATCATGTTTTCAAAAAATTTAATATTTTGGAAAAATGTTATATGCAGAAACAAATGTGGGTATAAGAGACATCTAAACATAAACATGAGACAAATCCCTGAATATAAAACACGTTTCCATGACGTCTCATGAAATATAAAAATCAAAATGTTTTTTTTTTTTTTTGCTTTGTAGTAGCACCAATATTCCATCTCACAACTTTTGAGTTCAGGCTGACATTTAGGCCTTTCTACCATTTACAGTTTGTTCTGCAATAATAATTATGACAATAATTTCTGAACTTCATGCTTGGAAGCCTAAAAATGGCATCAGAGAAGACCAAAAAAAACATGTTCTCATGTACTTTATACATGCTTTAACATGCACTTTACATATGCAGTTCTTAAGGGTATTCTTAAGAATACAAACAAAATATCTCTCACATTCATTGAAAACAGAAGCTACAACAGGATCAGTTCTTGAAGAAAAAAAAAAAGTAAAAAAAAAAGACTAATACTGATACGACTTAGGAAATGGTCATTTTTTTTAAATATTGTAGTCAACTATCAAAAAACTTTATTAAATAATTTTGATAATGATGTTTAAAAATCCAAAAATTTCCAAACACTCCAAAAGCATGCAGCAGCTTGGGATGAACAGGAAAATATAAGCATCCAGTCCAAAAAAAAAGGTTAAGGCCGTTCAAAGCAGAGGAACATTCCACTGATATGACCCATATCTGAGTCAACACTGCCAGCATTTACAACAAAACTATGCTTTCACCACCACAACTGCACTGAGAAACACAGAATGAAATAAAAATATCCTTTGTTTCCAACAGAACCCTATTCACTGAGCTCAAATAGCAACCATTCTAAAACAATGATTGTTAATTCAACCCTCTGGATTCCTTACATGGATCAGTTGTTATTCTCCGCTGAGCTCAGAGCCATACTCCAAACACTCCAGTCCTTTCTGTCAGACCTCTCCACATAAAAAGGCCAACATTCTTACCAATAATGAGAGGAGATTTCCAAAGCACCAGCCAGTGTATTCTGCCAAAGAGGAACCGAATGAGAAAACCAGTGGAGAGCACCTTTAGACGAAAGCGAAAAGATGGGTGAAATGTAGAGCCGGGCGACTTCTTTGCTTTCACACA